CCACAAGAGCAATTGCAAGCAGCAGCTACTTTTGGCTCTGGGCCAGGAGATTCAAAGACTTCAGTCCTGCAGTGTGGTAGTCTGGCTAAGCTGCTGCAGATCCCTGCCCCCTTACTGAGCTGCAGGAGATACACCCATGCCTCTGGCTCAGTGGACCCTTACTCCTGCTCCCACCCACGTTCCTGGGTGCCTGGTGATCAGATTCGCCTTGCCTCTCATCTTACAGAATGCCGATTTGGGAGAGCAATAGGAATTTCTGATTCCTAAATCATATAGGCCCCCCACAGCCCATATTTAAAAGCTGCCTTCCTTTCCCACCTCTGTCCTAGGTAACCCTGAGGATCAGCCAGGTCTGGAAGTAGATAATCTGTTTATGGATTAAAAGGATTCACCTCACCAGAATCCCTTACTCACTCTGCCTCAAGAGTGCAGGGCTAGGCGTTTACGACATAATTTGGGGGTGCACTGCCACCTGGGTCCTGAGAAGGGGACTCAGAGGTGGAAATTCTCTAGAAACCTAGTCCAAAAGGTTTCAAAGTCGAAAAGTTGTGAAGAGTTCGTGTTAGAGACCTGAAGTTACATAGGCACCTGCCCTCTGACTCCAGCCCATTCTCAGGGACCTCAGCCTTTCCCAGGCCAATGACATTACTCAGTCCCTCTTGGCTGTTAGCAGGGTCCCCCTATAGGCAGTTTTACCAAGATGGCAGTTTCCTCTGAAATCCGGAAACAATTTAGGAATCAAAGTATCTTTCAACCTGAAGTTGTTAGTCAATGTTCATCACCAGTTTGAATATCTCTGTTGTGTTCCTATGTCCACCATTGCTGACTTATGTGCACGCATCATTCTTAGCTGATTTCTGGAAGGGGGGAAAAAAAACTGTGCAAATGGCCCTCTCTGGGAACAGAAGGCATCCCACCTGACTCCCTCTTCAGAATAAACAGATTCAGACTTTCCTTTGCAGCTACTGCAACTTCTAATAAAGGTTTTAAAGCACTCATTTTTTTCAGTAACCAATTAAAGGTTATGTTTTAGAATATGGTTTGAAAATCTGGATGGATAATATTATCCAGAATATTTAGAGAAACTGTGCAGAATCCTTTCTAGTATTCACCACTCTTATCTTTCAAGTTGCTTTATTTTCTGTGTGTGTGTGTGTGTGTGTGTGTGTGTGTGTGTCTGTGGTTTCTTTCTTTCTTTGGCAGAAAATATACTTTTCAAAACTTCCTAATCAAAGAAGTAATATTTCCTGTAATTTTAAGGCATTAAGAATGACCACTCCCCCTTTATTTTGTTTCCTCTTATCCTTTCTTTTCTGGTAGGCTTATCCCAGCGGATAAAGTTGCAAAGAGTCCTTCTTTCTGCTTCAACATCACAACTTCACAGAGTTGTCAACATCTAAATATGGTAATAAAATGGGTCAAGGACAAGATTAACATTAACTTGTTGAGTCCCATCCCCAGTACCACAAAAACCAAACCAAACCAAAGCAAACCAAAAAACCCACCTTGTATACATGTAAGAAAAATGTGAGTATTTATTTCTTAAGACCTTAACGTTTTCTAGATAAAATTTCCTTTTTCCGTGGTAAAGAGTGAGCATTTGGATATAACATACCGAGATGTTTAAGTGAACGCCTTTGGATTTTTCATCTTGATTATAAATATATCCCTCATTCTGACCTTGATCATTGAGTAAAATCCATGTCTGTGTTTTTTGTGTGCATCTGTGCACACGTGGTATGAGAAGATGTAACTGTGTGTGTCTTTCTGGCAGTTTTAGAAAGAAAAGCGTCTGAAATCACTCTTATTTTGATTAAAATGTTCAGATAGCTGGGAACAGAGAGGAATTATAGGAAGTCAGGAAGGAGGTCTATACTGGCACAGGATTGGAACCGCAATGCACCCAGGTCTGTGCCACAGCGCTAAAATCCAGTTTGGCAGCTTGTTTTGGGATTCCCCTTGGTGTTAACCTGTTCTTTTATAATACAAGGTACAGCATCTCTAGTCTGGAGTTGGCCTGATGTCAAAAAGGTCAGGCGGCCCTTGGAGGCCCCCTCTTTTTCTTTTTGAGTGCGTGCAGCGCGCGAGACTTCGCACGCACAGGCATGTTTCCGAATCCGCCACAGCGAGCTCGCAGCGTTCACCCCACTAGAGCCCTGGGCTTATGCTTGTACAGGTGTCTGGGCCACAGCTGCTGGCAGGTTCCATGAAGGCAGCATTCCAGGGAGCCCCAAAGGTGGAAGGGGCTCTCAGGAAACAATGTCACGCCTTTAGTCTGTTTGCCCTTCTTGGTTGGGGGAGATGTTGAGTATAGATCAGGATCAGTTTCCTCACTTAATCGGGTCCCCTCCAGGGGCAATGTAGACCACGCCACTGGACCACAGGGCTAAGTTTTAATACAAAGGAGGCCATGGCCTAGATTCTGTACTGATCCCTGTTTGGTGTGGGTGGCTCGCTGTGCCCATCTCTTTGCTTTCCTCTTATATTAGAAAAGAGGTTGGTAGGATTAGTCTCAAGAAACTTATTTAAAATTTCCCATGCTGGATGCAAACGCAAACTCACAGAACACATGGCAGGCACCTGAAGTTCTGGTTCACGGTTCACGTCCCAGGCTGGCAAGGCGCGCGTGCGGGGCTGGTGGGCGGGGTCGCCAGGAGGGTGCGAAGTCGGGTCCTTGTGTTGGGCGGGGGCGTGAAAGAGTCCTTGCTCCAACCTGAGTTCAGAGATTAGAAAAACAGGTGTGACGTCGCTGTGCTAATTCACTCTCTCGGTAAACGCGGGCTCAGACAGTTGTATGCAAAGGATTTAGTGAGCGGCTGTCACCTCAGGGCCCTATGTTCACTTTGTTTATTAAACGACATTTACTGGGTTCATCGACAAAAGAGATACCTTGGGACCTTGGAGTAACCCGCCAGGCACCCCACAACATCAGCCTTTGGTGTAAAGACTTCAATACTGATTTTACCCCTTTGGCTTCTGAGGAAAAAATACTACATTTCTTCCGTTTAAAACGCGCCCTGCATGAAAAGGTGGGAACTTCCAGACTCTCCACGCGCCCCCCCCCCCAGAGTCCCTATAGAGTACAGGTTTCAGACACCAGAAAAGCACTTCCACGCCTGCATGCTATTTGCAAAAGAGATAGGGTTTAGAGCAGCCGCAGACTTCACTGAAATCCTGTCTAGAACAATAGAAAACTGCTTCTTAACCTTAAAGTGTCATTGCTTAGCCTGGTGGCTCCATCTTATCCTGATATCTGTCCACACTGGCAGAAAGAGGAGAGCTAGGAAAGGTTCTTTCACGCCCTCCGCATCCTTCCCAACCGGTTCCCCTCGCTACCGCTACTGTAGTAGCTAACTTGACCTTATCTGATCTTTCTGGAATTTCATGTAAAAGCGACCACATCGCATCTCAATCTTCCTAACCATCTCTTACTACAGTATACCATTCGGTGATCAGTACCGCCCAGAGTAGGTCTCTAAGTGGCTACACCCACTGGGGAAATGACTCCTCCTTCTAGATTAGAGCCCATTAGCTGGTTCCAGTTTTGAAACACCCACAAAATCTGTTTAGTTCTTTCCCCCTTTTCTGTCTATCCCAAACTTTGACCTCCTCTTGCCAGGTGTTGCCCAGATGTGTAAATAACCCCAGAAAGCTGCCGTCAACTTAGAGCTTATGCCACTGGGCAGCAAGGAGATAGCAGATGTCTGTATTTTTAAACAAACACTCTTAAAGGTGTTCTGAATATCAGTAGAATGGCAAACACCCCTCTTTAGAGTATTTTTTTCAGCAGCAATTAGCGCCATAAACGGGAGGATAAATGCACCATTATTGGTGTTCTGACTTTTATGACAGAACTGCCTCTAAACACATCTCTAGGAGCAGAACCGTGATCACTAGCAGCACCAAAACCAAGCCAGGAATCACATCGGTAGGGAGTGATTTGTGAGCGGCGATATTGTCTTGGGCAACTTAACTTTTTTCTTGTTGCTATCTGTTGTCTTTTCTCAGATGACAGAAAGAGAGGGCAATCCAAATTAGAGGATCTCTAAACCATAATTTGTCAGCAACAATACTTGGGAGCGTTCATTTAAAAAGCTCCTAATGGGGAATTGTAGACATTTTAAGTTCAATTTTGTAGACTGTATCCTTTCTGTAAAGAATATTCACGTTGGGCTTTTATTTCTTGAAACAAAACCCAACAAAAGAGTCGGCTGATATTAAAGATAATGGATTATTGTGAGATATCTATCAATCACTTCTAACTCTATTTTGACCTGAAATATAACCTCCTTTCTCCTAGTGTCCATTCGCTGCTTGCCATACGAAAAAAACTCCCCCAACAGAGATTTCCACAGTGAGCAAATCAGCCACAAATCCGACGCATTTCGAAAAAGACACTCTTCTTTGGGAGTAAAGACAGGCATTGTATTTATTTCCTCTGGTGATGAATTCGGTGTCATTCTGGTTTCAGAGAAACGTGAGAGAAAATAAAGCCAAACATCGGCGCACGGTAGGGTCAGCGTTTGGGCAAACTGCTCAGTCCGGGTTACTATGGTCTTGCCAGCCGGCAACCCCAGCCTACCCGCCTGACCTCTGCTGCCTAGGGGTTGCAGCACACAGCCTCCAAGCGCTCCCAGCACCCTTACGCGGGTGCGTCAAGCTGAGTGCTCAGACACCCGACCCCAGGGAGCAGGGATAGCACGGGTCGTGCACAACACCCAGCAGGCCCCAGAGGCCCGGAACTACCGTGGAAGCTTGGCAACTCCGACCTCTGCGCCCCGGTCTCATTAGGTTCCCGGTGGCCACGCGGGTGGTAGGACTGGGAGCCCAGACCTGGGGCGCGTGGGGGCGGTGCGGGGCGTTCTCTCGTCACTCAGCTAGATTGGCCAATGAACCCCGCGCCGCGGGGCGCATCCGGCCAATAGGAGGCGGAAAGACTTGTGAGTGGCATTGAGAGAGGGTGGGAGAAAGGGAGCCCGGGAGTGAAGTTGAAGCTAAGCCCCGTAAGCTGTAAAGAAGTTACTGGGGGGGCGCTTTCGGCTTCCAATTAGGAATAATACTGGCTTTGTAGCAACTACCGAGGAGGAGGATTCTTAAACCACCTCTTCCGTCCCAAAGCCGGCATCCTCCTACTTCTGTCACGTACCCCACCCCCAATTCATGATCAAGTGAAAGGAGCCAGGGAATGCTGTGCACCTCTCTGCTAGTGGGAAGCGGAGAGGCCGGCAGAGTTGTTTAGTTGGACCGTAGGCATGAGTACAATTAAGAGGTGGGCGTCTTCGCACCCTTTGCAGCCCTCAAGGACTGAAGGTAGGTAAAGCAGAAGACACCCTACGCCCGCCCAGCGGCGTCACAGCTCTGCGGCTGGGGAGGCTAGGCTGGGACGCCTCCCTCCCCCCCAGCGCCTGCGAAGGGGCTGTCGGTGAGTGTGCCACCTGTTAACCTGGCGCTCCGGTACCCCGAGTGTTACCGCCCCTGCTGGGCAGGGAGAGTCCTGGGTCTCTTCCCTTCTTGAGCCCCGAGGGGCTTGATGAGTAAGTGCTACTTTTTGAGAAACCCTCAGACTTCAGACCCACGTTAGAGAGGTAACCGAGCTCCAGATTTGCCAAGGTCGGGCCTGAAAGGCGTTTGTCCGCAGAGCTGTGGAGGAATTCTGATTTGCGGAAACCTGCTTTCCTGGGATGTGTGCCTGGCCTGGGCGCCAGTGCAGAGACCCAAGGCTGAAGATCTTCTGAGGGTCTTCAAAAATATGTATTTTGTTTTTTGGGCAGGTTCCCAGTGGGCTGGAGAACGTGGCTGACATGGGTGAGGGAACGCGAGCGTTATTTGCTGGGTGCTCAGTCTCGCTGCTCCTTTCTTTGTATCTTAAAAAACAATCAAAAATTACTGATCCTGGCTAGGAAAGCTGAGGCGCGCCGAGGCCCTTTCACAGCGGTTTTTCGGAATCGGGGCAAGGGTGTGATGGTGGAGCCACAGATCTCTTACGCTCTGATGCTGTTGTCTTCGCAGTGGTCTGAAAGAGTTACCTGGGATTCGTGTTCTGCATAAAGGGTCCCAGAGTCGCCTCGGAAGCGATAGGACTGAAGAGCAAACGTCGGGGATTATTATGCCGATTTTCCAAGGAACGGGGTTCGCAGCGCTGAATAGAAGAAAAGGCTGGTTCCTCGGTTGTCCCGACAGCATTTGAGACCTAGGAACCTCAGGATTGCCCAAATTGCCGTGGATCAGCAACTTTCCTATCGTACACTTTTTCAAAGAAAATATTTTCTGTTCTCTGCGCTGTCCTTTTACTACCAGCACTACACTCCCTGGTGTAGACTTCAGCCTCTTCATTTAAAGTATGGCTTATGTTTTTGCCAAGTATGATATCTAATTGAAAGTTAATTTTTGGTTTTGGATGAATCTGTGGAGCTCACGTTGTAAGAAGAAAGGGGGAACGAGACACAATGAAAGAGAAGTCCAAAAATGCTGCCCGGACTAGGAGGGAGAAGGAAAACAGTGAGTTTTATGAACTGGCTAAATTACTGCCTTTGCCCTCAGCTATCACCTCGCAGCTGGACAAAGCATCCATAATCAGACTCACGACCAGCTATCTCAAAATGAGAGTGGTGTTCCCAGAAGGTAAGTGACTTTGCTGAAGGAATTTCAAAGCAAAGGGGGTAGGAACTTGCCAGACAATGAGCCTACCCCAGTGAGAGAGGTACACCCATATTTACTACATTTGTATTTTGTGCAAAGGGAATTTTAGCCTAACTACTTGATTCAGCTCCCCGATAAACTCAAGGTTGCTTTTCCTTTTCCTAGTTCCCTCTACTTCCCCATTAATACTTTCTGTTCAGTCCATCAGATGTGTTTGGTTGGGAAGCAGCCCAACAATGCTTTTGTCAACACTTCAGATACTGAGCTCAATTGAAAGTACTACTAATCCAAACATGACTTTCTTTTTTATTCCACTTGTTTGAATTGTATCCAGTAGAAAGCAGGAACACTGCTAGATTCTGCATATTTGCTAGATATGGATAGATCTATTTACATGTAACTAAATCAGATAATAATTCCTCTATATGTCTATGGTTCTGCAAGTGAGGAGGTATATTCATACAAATACATCCTGAATTTACCCAGTCTCTTGGCTGCCTATAGTAAATTTATTCTGCATTTTCAAGATATTCTCAAATTAGGAAACTAATTCTGGGACTTGATGATTTGCAACTCTGGCCTTTACATTATCTGTAAGATACTAATCTAGTTTCAAAATACATCAGATTGGACTAAGATGGCTAGCCCACTTAGAAAATATCTTCTGGGTGGCAGGTTGGCAAATGGATCCTGGGAAGATTGTTTTATAAGGCTGGGAAATTAGAATAGTTGAGTCGTTGACATGATTTAAAACTTATATTTAGTTCATCAACATTCACTGTGTGAGGCAGAGCAGCCTTCATATAACACTGTGCTGTAAAAAACTGTTTATACTCACTAGGGAAAGGACACTTCTCTCTTCCATTTACCCATTTACTCAATCAAATTAAAACAGGTATACAAAATATTTTAAATATGTTTTTACTAGAAGAGGAAGATTTGAAAATGTAAAGGAGAGATTACTAGTCAAGCAAACAAAAATCCAGCAGAAAAAAACCCTGTTAATTTACAAACAAAACTTCTTATTTGACCTCTGAAAGTTTATGTTGAATCATTATTTTGAATGTTTGGCATTTGTTGTTTTAAAGAAATAGTGGTGGGCAAGGAAATAGTCATTATTGGGTTTGGAGTTTCACTTTGCTTGATCTTGATGCAAAAGCTTGCAAAAATATGCGTCAAATTAGGGACCCTACAGAAAAACTTCCAAATTATAGTTCAATTCTACCCTCAAACTACATGGTCCATTCCTCTTAACGTGGTTCCTTGAACAGTTCTCCTCATTTGACCCTGGAAACCACAGGAGGAGGGGAATCAAAGCGTTAAGTAACTGTAAAGTTTTTAAAAGAAAAAAAATTTAAAAAGAGGGAGGAACTTTATGCTAAAAACCACATTTCCCATTCAAACTGTGCTGAGAATTGCTGATGGGAAACTTATCGTTATACCGCACTGTCTTCTGTTTTAAAAAGAGATCTTGTTGTCTTTTATACTGTCAGCGCCTACTTTATAAAAATAAAGCTATTGCGAACTCCGCTAGCCGCGCAGTTCCTAACAGGATTATTAGCAGTGATTTGTCAGCCCCTGCGGTCTCAGTGGGTTCCCTTTCTGCGTGATTTCTAGCCGGTCTCGTCAATTATCGATGCCAATGTCGCTCGCTGTTTGATCAGAAGCAGCATATGGTGCTGCTTGTGGGGCTGCGAGTAATCGCAGGAGGAGAAGAATAGCGGGTCGGCGTTCCCGGGCAGGCATCGCGCGGGCACTGAGAGCCCAGGGAATCGCGTGGGCCAGGGACGCTAGCCTGCTTGGTACAGACCCCGGGCAGGGGCAAGCTCCGCCAGAAGGAGCTCGGGGCTGTTTTTGGTGACTGTTTTTGTTTTGTAAGAGAGCAAGCTCTCTTGTTTAATTAAGTCCTACCTCCACAAATTATAAATCACGTTATAAGTAAATAGGAGGGACAAAAAGTAAATTCTCATAGGCAACTTCTCGTTATTTATTTTATTTTTATTTTTTTTTTAAGAGAACACGGGCGAAGTCTCCCACTGGAATACCCTTGGTGGCAAGGCCAGTCCCCTCTGGCTACTTTAAAGGGCAATTGTGCTTTCTGCAGCCAACCCCCCTCACTTCCTCCAGAGTCCCGGCCCGGCCCCTCCCACCTCTCCCTTCTATGGGTGAGTGTGAGTTTATGGGGAGGAGGGGATGGACGATGTGTGAACTCTGGGCACATCATTTATTTCTCCAGCTACTGTTGAGCTCATAACTCACCCACAGCCTCCACCCGATGAGTTAAGACAGGGTCATAGGAACAGCTGGCTCCTAGGGATGAGGTTTTAATTCTGAGAGTGCATGAGCTTCAAAAACTCAAATGCGGCCCTTCAAAATATTAAAAAAGAAAAACAACAATAAATAACAACAACAACATATCAGCTTTCAAAGGAATGAAATAGTGAAAAGCCTTAGAATTTGGCACAACCTGCAGGGGGTGCCCAATTTGGGTTCTCCCTTGCCTCAGAGAAGCTGGGAGGACAAGACTGAGGTCCAAGGCAGTGAAGGAAACCTTTTCATCTTTATATGGTTGTAGCTTTTTTTTTTTTTTTGTACTGGTGACTGAACACAGTGGTAGGTTTACCACTGACCTATACCCCAGTCCCCATCCTGGAACTTGTGATCCTCCTTCCTCAGCCTCTGAGTCCCTGGGATCACTGACTTGCATCTCCATATCCAGATGGTTGTAGTCTTCTTTAGTGAGACTAAATGGAATTTGAAGATTAAATTCATCCTTCTTATATCAGTCTTGAAGCCATTCTAGCACATAGTAGACCCTCAATAAATTTTGTTTTAGGGATAGTTATTTTACCATGGTAAATATTCCATTACACATGGATTTTTGTAAGACACTCTCAAATAATTATAAATCTGGTGACATAGCTATAGGCATAATGATATTGTAAAATTTTGGTTTTTTTGTTCATATCACAATTCATCTATATTACCCTACAATGCACAGACCCTTTCTATAATATTCATCTCTAGATTGAAATCCCTAATTGTATTATATTTTTTGAAGCAGAGAACTGAAGAAAAGAAAGAGGCTCCCATTTCCCACGTGCGTCGGTGATTTAAGACTGTTTTTCTTGCTGCTCAAAATTAAATTAAATGAACAAATAAAATTTCCCCATACTTATTTTTTAAAGGAGAAAAATAATTAAAATATAGGTCATTTCCTTTCCAATCTTCCCTGCTAAGTGTAGTTTTTCACTCAAGAGTCTGTTAGCTTTTATCTGGTGGCATGCTTCAGCTTTTAAACTTATTTTACCTGAGTAGAGAAATGATAGAGGGGGAAATGATAGAGAAAAGAGGATGGGATATGGATATCCCAAATAATTAAGAATAAGCATTAGATTCCCATGTTGAATTTGAGATTTAATAGTAAAAAAAAAAGCGAAAAAGAAATTCTGATAACATTATTGTGAAATCATTAAAAGCACATATCTTCTGACTGATAATAATCTTTTCTAAATAGTCTAGAAAAGGAAAGATTGAGGCATGTAGAAATATATAAATCTTAGGTGCTATCGAAGCTGGAAAGACAGGATAAAAAAAGAGATGTCTTGACCTTGTTTGTGTGCTAAATAGGACAAATTCAACTAAAAATAAATACATATTAATTATCCATCTATAATGCAATTTTACTAGGCATAGTGGTATGTGGAATGAACTTTGAAGGAATCAGATATGTTTTCAAGTCTATAGCTGTTCAGTCTAGGTAATATTGCCCTGCCATTTCGTTGTCAAAACCTCTTTAGAAAATAAAAATAATCACAATTGAAATTAGTGAGTGTTCAGGAAAGAGAGGATGAATAAGCAAACCTCCACAGACCCTTTCTATAATATTCATCTCTAGATTGAATCCCTAATTGTATTATATTTTTTGAAGCAGAGAACTGAAGAAAAGAAAGAGGCTCCCATTTCCCATGTGCATCGGTGATTTAAGACTGTTTTTCTTGCTGCTCAAGGAAATGATTGAGCATTAAGTTTCCATGTTTATTTTCTTACAGAAGTTTTTCTCATTTAAAAGCCTTTAAGCACAGTTTATGCTCTACACTGATTTTCTCCGTTTGATTCTAGTTTTGATGTTGACTTAAAATGTGAAGAACTAAATTTTGTGCAGAGCATTTGCAAGGCAAATTTATTTGCTAGAAATTGTAGGTCTAGCCACTGGGGTGGTGGTGGGGGGGAACACCTTTTTTTTCTTAAGGAGACAGATCACTACCAAAAAATAATAACATGAAAAAAATATAAAAAACAGGTATCAGAAGCTATAGTGATGATTTCAAATAAGGTATGATCATGTACTTGAAGCTAAAACAATACTAAACTTACTAAACTTACAGAGTAAAAAACCTGATTTCTACAAGAGTTGTTTTTCAGTTCTAGGGAATCCCGGCAGCTTGAAACTTTTCCTGACAAACGGTGACACAGAACACAAAGCCACGGATTCTTGCTGCATTTCTCTATAGGTCTAGGAATTTCTCAAAAAAAAAAAAAAAAAAAAAAAAGAGGTTCAGACTCTTATAATATTTAATGATTTTAGTGGGTTATTCATTGCCAGTCTTTGATCCTCGAAAATTTAAATTTTATGTGAGGAAGAGGAACCCCAATTATTTAGGAATGGTCCTGCTCTTCTGAGAATACTAAAACAATGTCCACAATGAAACAAACTTTCCTCCTCAGGTACCCCCACACAGTAGGCGACTACTGTGTCTTTATGGCTCAGGCTAGGCTAGGGACAGCTACTATATCTTCGCCTGTGTCAAGGTCTGAAGGCCCAAGGCCAATTAAGTTGGCATAGTGAGTCCCATTCTCTCTGCAGTGGCCCAGCGCTGGGACTCTAAACAGTCGCCCCATTCCCTGTGCGGGGTCAGGTGTACGGGTAGCCCGGAATGTCTCCGCCGGGTGTCTGGGGCAGAGGCCCTGGGGAGCGCTTGGAGTGCTCCTGTGTGCCCGCCACCCTTTCTTGCTGCCCGGGCACAGCCTCAATGACTGGCGGTTGTCTAGATCTGAAATAGAAATTATGTCCAATCTGTCCGGTTCCGGGAGGGAAGATTCCGTGCGCTTGTAGAGGATCTCAGCTCAAGTAGAATCGAAGTGGAATTCTTCTGTCCTTTGCGGCTCTGCCTTGCAGGAGCGGGCCTCTAGGGAAGTGGCATTGCCAAGTCCGGCCGCTCTCAAAGGCCCAAAGACTTGGGCGACTCCGCTTGACATTTTTCAGCCACCATGCAGGACACTCCCCAGGTATTTATACCCAGTTTTAGTCTGAATCTTGTCGAACCCTCCCCTTCCTTCGTTTTTTGCAGTTTTTTGTTCTTTAGCAGCCGGCTCAGATGTGTCGGCTGGCAGGCTCAGTCCCGAAAGGAAAGCCTAAACTCGGAGGCGGAATGGAGCATGACAAGGGCGCAGAAAGGGTCAGCTCTGTGACCATCCGGCTTCATCCCACATTTACAGTAACATTAGTGGCTTCTCAGGCGCAGCCGCAGAGCGTCTCTGGCCCTTGAGCGGCAGGCAGAGGAAGGCAGGGCACACGGATTGCAGACAGAGGGTAGTCGCACATTGTGGGGTCCCGGGGAACTGGTGCAAGACAAGGCCTGGCAGGGCACGGTCATCGACGCCCTAGGGAGCACTGCCACACTGGGCGGGTGGCTTAGAAGGGCCCCTGCGCTAGAGCTGAGGGAGAGGGTGCACGTCCGTTCCCAAATCGACCTTCTGCCCAAGGACTGATCCAGGAGTTCTGTCTCGATGGGAAGTGTCCGTTCTCCGTCTCTGTTCCCCAGAGAGTCCAGCCGCGGAGGCGCGGGGAACCCCAACACCAAGGTCGCTTGGTACCTCTAGCGGAGGAATGCTAGGATTTGCGTTCAGTAATGATGCACAGGCTCTGCAGGATAAACAGGCTTTGGGATTTCCTCCCTGGTCCAACCTTCTCCCCCTCACCCTCCGCCGCGGTTGACCCAGGTAGCTTGGACAAATGATTTGGGACTAAAAATTAGGAGTTGTGCCTTCCAGGGCCTTTCCAGCCCCAGTCTCTAGGTTGTGGTCAAATGGAGGGACAGCGTCTCTAGTTTATGCATTTATCCCCTCATTGCCTAAAAGGCATATCTTGATCCATGGAGTAGATAGTGGTCCTGGGAACAACTACAAGGAGGAGGCCTTTCTGTGGCAGTATAGTATGTACAGAATAAAAGAAAGAACAAGCTCTTTTCTTCCACCTCTTCCTGTCACAGTGAAGGCCGCAATGATGCAGGGTCTGTAATCTGTATTTTGTCAAGGGTATGAAATTCATTCGGAAGGAAAACCTCGATCAATTTATTTTTGCTGCTTGCAATAACACAGCTGGATGATGCTTTGGGCTCAGCTAGACTGAGGCTCATCATTCATTCGCCAAGAACGGGCCTAAATGGTGCCTGTGGGATTAGGTCAATTTTAGTGGATCTACTTCGCCTCATTTGGTTACTAATTGGTTTCTTGTTTTATAAATCGAAATCTCATTTTCAGGAAATTACAAAACCCATGCAGTCAGTCCATTGAGGTAATCCTTGGGTCAGGGGGTATTTAAATGGAAATGGCTCAACCGCGCACCAAGGGTAAAGCAACAGTGAAACTTACCGGGGTTTTCACATGAAATGTGAGCTAGCCCTTTAGATCCATAATAGATACATCCCTTCTAATGCTACTTATGTAAATATGATAAACCAGACTTTAAGGAAAGAGGGGGGCCTGGGAGAAGCAAAATTTATCTGCTAAGGTTAATGTGGCATATCTTGGAAATCTTCCAAAATAGATTATGTTTTCCTTTGTCTTCGGCCACTTTAGCTGGGGAAAATCCTTTTGTCTAAAACCCGATTTAGTTATCGCCTCCCTCACAGAGCTCCTTTTCTCCTTTGCAAAACCCTGTTCCCTCGGCCTCACCGAATTACAAGAGAATCTTTAGATCTTGTTCCCACTGTAATCCCGCCGCAAAGGGAGCTGGTTTCCTCCTCATTTTAAACAGACAATCAAAGGATTTGCGAATTTTCTGCGGTAGGTCAAGTGCAGAAACGAAATCTCAGCTTACCCCCTCGCCAACTGAAATTGGGTGCCGGAACGCGTCGCTGAAGGCAAGAGGCGAGGGGGTCCAGGGAGAGGGGTCTCTGGCCCACTTCGAGACTTTTGGAAAGGAGGACCCTTGATGCGGGCTTGGGGAAGTGTCCTCTGCACCCCAAAGGGCGAGTTCAGTCCTGGTATTACGTCAGGGAAGACCGACAGGTAGACGAGGGTAGTCAGTTCCTTATAAAACATTAACCCAGACTCAACCGTGTGACGGAGATTTCGACGGGAAACAAAAAGAGAAGGCAATGCTCCGTGAAAGCAAAAGGTTCCTTAAAAAGGTGGTGGGGGTGGGTGGAAGAGTGGATAAGGGAGGGGGAGGGAGGCCTCTGTTAACCCGCACCCGGATGGGCTGTTTATTAACCTTTGGGAAGTCTTATTTTCCCTCGTAGGAGCATAATAATAAGGCCGTAACCCGACACAAGAAACAGTAGAGGCTGGCGCCGCGAGTCCTAAACCAGTATTCCCCCACCCCCACCCCCAACAGCCCAGCCCGGGAAATCTTCAGATCATTTGGGTAGGGTAGGCGCTCCTGGAGACCAACAAAATTTTACATTGAAGACGTTTGTTGGCCCCACGCAGAGGTTTCCAACACTTCTGGGGGCTTCGAGTCGGTCTCCCCACACAAGGAAGACTCAATCCACCCGTAAAGTGCAGGAGTGTCCGCCCTCCGCTTGCGCAAGGGGTTTCAGGACTTCTCAGGTCCAAGGGCGCTCACGGGCGGCGACACCTGCGTCCCGGGCACTCTCTGCAGAGTCCTTTTCCTTTACCCTGTTAGCCTCCGCAGTCAACTCGTTCTGACTCTTCTTCTGGGTAGGAATGTCTGAACAGAGATTTAAAAGAAAAGAAAATGTCGTGCCAGATATCAAGGAGAATAGATTGGTTGAATCCTGAGGAGCGAAGGGGAAGGAGACAACACGAAGGGATGTTTACAGGTGACTGTGACCGGGACCTCCTGGAATGGTCCAGAAGAAGGAAAGAAACCAGGACAGTGGAGTCACTCTGGGGAGGGAAGTTGGGGCGGGCTAAAAAGTCAGGAGGGGTCAATCTGCACGAGGGAGAGAGAGGAGTCCAGTCGCAGGCAGGGAACATCAGTGTTTACAGAGCGGTGGGGAAATCGTTAGATTTATTTAGATGTGCAAACACCCAGAAAGACCCTATTTGAGCTTAAGGGGCGTTCAGTGTTACTCGTTGCCAGGATTTTGATCGCTTGCTTAGGAAGCAGCTCCTGGCCAACACCTTAAAAAAAACCCAACTCTTTGTTTTGTTGTGAAAGATTCTTCCCAGCGCCAGTTAGAGTGTTTTTGTCATTGTGTGTTTTACCTATGTGCCCCTAATGAAGAAGGTCATCTAAAAAAAAAAAAAAAAAAAAAAAAAAAAACCACCACCACCAACAAAAAACCATTTCATGTTAAACCTTGTACAATGATGTAAGAATGAAAGGACTTCACTATCTAGTTGATATAATTCCACAAGCAGCCAGATAGAGATATTATCTATAACACATTTAACATAGCTCTGCCCAAGTTTCTTCTGCCTTTTTATTTTTTTTTCTGTACACAGGTAATATGGTAGACTATTAATTTTTTAAAAATCAACCATGAGAGTCTTCAAGGTTTGCTGTTTTAGGCATCACCATAAAAACTGGCAAAGCCTCAAAAGATCTTAACGTGGTAACATAGAGGAGATGAATGGACTGTCTTTGTTAATAGGAGATGGTACCTGACAAGTAGAGAACGAAATTACTTTCTATGTCAAGAATGCAACGAAAATATTGCTAAGAAATTGTTAGCACCTCAAAGTAACCGACTTCAGGAAAGTCCCCCCTCCCCCTTTTGGAGGCGGAGCGGGACAGGACTAGGGTGTGTAAAGCTGGGGCTCCGAGGGAAAACGAAGATGAAGGATTTCGAAGGGATGCTGGTAAGCGTCAGACTGAAAGTCAACCGCAAGCTAAAGGATTTTTTCGAAGGGTATTAAGTCAGATCCAGGGGAGGAGAATGTCTAGAAAGTCCCGCAGCCAATCAGAAAGGACGCCAGGGACCAGATGAACCTGGCCAGTTTTTTCGGGCCACTTTGGGGTCAGAGGTTCCCTATGTGGGGGGACATTCTCCGCCTCTTGATAAGGACGATGATGAAAACTTTGGGCGAGAAATGAGTGTCCCTAATCTCCTTAAACAAACTAGTGAACCTACGCAAAAGTTATCGCCAGTGTGTGATGTCGGGGGCTTCTCTAGTGCAGAGGTCCCTTGAGGTCCTGCCAGGAGAGCACTCCAGGAGAGCAGGTCCTAGCTGAGAAACCCGGTTCCCTCAGGCCAGAGGTTGACTTCTGCTAGGAAACCCAGGGAGGGGCCAAAATTTGTACTCTGGCATAACCTCTTCCCAACTGGGCAGGTTGGGTGGAGTTGACTGGGAAATAATATCAGGGGGTTCTTCCTCTTGCGCTAATGTGTAACAAACCACAAAAAATGCGAACTAGTCCCAAACTGACACTCGGGCTGGGATTCTGATACTAAAGTTTGTTTCTATGTCTTCCCAGGGCTCGGTGAGGCGTGGGGCCACTCAAGTCGGACTAGCCCCCTGGACAACGTTGGCCGCGAACTGGGCTCCCATCTACTCCAGGTACGGACACGTGTCTCCCAGTGGCTCACATCCTTCGAGGTCCCGGTTACCTGGATGGGCCTCCGCTTTCTTAAAAACTAACTAAAAAAATAAAATTTAAAAATCCATTCTGAGCATGGCTCTCTCAGCCTAACAGCATCTCCAAAGTTAGAACTAAAGCTCTTAACTGGGTGAGGATGGGCGAATGGCGCCTCGCCAGGCTGAGAGGGAGGCAAAGTGGCAACCAAGGCTTTGGGTTTGGAAAATAGCCCGGCAAGTCTCCATCAGGGTACTGAGACCAAGGCAGGGGGGCTTCTTTTGTCATCTTTCCGTCACTGGTACTGGAAGCCCAGGGCCCAAGCCGCCAAGACAGAGCTGCAGAACCATCTGAAATGAAGGATTTCCGAAGGAAATAAAAGGAATCTGGTAGAAATGCCCGTCTGTGCTTTAACCTACACGTTGCGATTCCAGCTGGGTCTGCAACTAATTTCATCTCTTCCTTGTAGTTCCCAGGCTCCCCCTCGCCCCAGGCCAGCCCAGGCTCTGGGTTACACACATACACACCCCCAGGTAATGAGTTTAACCAATGTGAGGTGCCCATTACATTGTTGTTTGCAGTGCACACTGTTTTAAATTGCCTGTTGCCGGCTTAAGTCGCAGAACAAATATTTTAAATAATAAAACTCCCGATGGCATTTTTAGGTTTGACACTTGTCCCCTACCCCACACCCTCTTTATTATTATTCAAGTCCACTGGGAGTGGTAGCTTGGAACCTAAGAAGTTTAAGGGAAGCCGGCAATTCTTCCTCCAGGACCCGCATGAACAGCAATCTCTCCGAAGGGTCCCACAGCCTTCATGTTCCACTAGTACTCATACTCTTTTTCATCAGGAAACAAGAGATTTTAGTTGCACTGAACAAAGAAAGGGTATGAGCTTTTCTTCGCTGGCCTGGCTTCCATACTTTTGAATTGATCTAGAAAAGGTGCTGTAATTCCCTTTATTTCAACACCTTTCATCAGATGTCTCTCAGTTGCCCCCCCCCCCATCTTACCATAATCCCAGCCAATCTCTTCTGGCAATATAAACAAGATAATGAAACCCCCAAACAATCCTTCACCCCTTCTAGCTCTTGCCCAATCTCTCCTCTTTTTTTTTGTTTTTTACCCCAAACTTCTGGTAGGATTGACTTCCATTCCATTTCAGTGGCTCACTCCCTTCCCCATTTGCTCCAACATCCCTGCAGTCTGTCAGCTCTTCTACCCATTAGGCTCTACAAAGGCCCCACCACATTTTGATATTAAGAATTAGATGCCCCCCCCCTTTTTTTATCCTCTCTCAACTTGTTCATCCTACAAAATAGGAGGGTCAGGGCTGGGGCTATAGCTCAGCAGCAGAGCGCTTGCCTAGCATGTGTGAGGCACTGGGTTCTATCTTCAGCACCACATAAAAATAGACAAAATAAAGGCATTCTGTCCATCTACAACTACAAAAAATTAAAAAAAACAGGAGAGTCAATTGTATGTCATCAGAAAGCCCTTTCCTCATAGACTTTACATTCTAAGAGGAGCCTTAGAAACCCACACAGGTGTACTGCATATGTACCAGGTGACAGGTGCTGTGGAGAAAAATGAGAGGAGGGCTCTGTTTTAGGGTCACAGTTTAAAATGGAGATGATTGAAGCGGGACTAAGAAGGTGACATTTGGGCAAATACCTTTAAGGAGGTGACACTGAAGACGTAACATTCTCCTTTTTTCTACAATGTCTGTAGTAGCTTGATTTCCCAGATTTCTCTCCCTCTCTGACTGCTCCTCTTTGATTTCCCCACCACTGTCTGTTTCACAAATGATGTAGTTTTCAGAAGGTTCTAGCTGTTTCTTCTCTCAATGCTCCACAGCCTCCTGGGTGATTTTAATCAACACCACTGCTTCAACTCTTCTCTCCACATGGCCCTGCCTATTTTATCCAGATCTAGAGCCCCTTCTGAATTCTAGACCTTTATTTCCTACTAACAACTAGACACATTTAAGTGGAAATTGTAATGTCCCTGAAGCATCTCCAAGACAAAAATGCATATTGCTCTGGCCCAAACTTCTTTTTTAAAAAAATATTTATTTTTTTTTTTAGTTGTAGTTGGACACAATACCTTTATTCATTTATTTTTATATGGTGTTGAGGATCCAACCCAGGATCAACCGCTGGGCCACAATCCCAGCCCTCTGGCCCAAACTTCTGCTTGTACAAAATTCACTGTTTCTCCAAATTTCAGTCTTACTTAATGTCCTTACTGAAACCTGAAAGTCAACCTGAACTCTCTTTCTGCCATCAATTAGCATGAAGTTCACAGCCAGCATCATCTTTAAATTAGACTCTCATCTTTCTTCATTTCTTTTTTGATCACTCAGTTTCAGACTTCACCCATCTCTGCTGCAGCTATCTGCTCCGATCTCTTCACCCCCATTCCTTCCTTCCTTCTGTAGTCATTTCCAAGATTAAAATAATACATCTAAGTATGTTATTTTCCTGCTTAGAAACCTCTGTTGGACTCCTAATGCCTATAAGAACAACTTCAGATTCCTCAAATTGACATTCTAAATTTCAAAAATTCATTGTGGGTGTACTTCTTCAGCTCCACCTGTAGTACACCAAACACGTCACTTCAGAATACATCTGATTCATCCTCCCGCAAAGTCCCTGCCTTTGCCACATTTTTCCTTCTGCCTAGGATGCTCTTCCTCCCTTCTCTAGCCCAACCTTCCTTTCCAAAGTTCTGCTCAAACATCGACTCCTATAAGGCATCTTTGACTCCTCTTCTCTCATTTCCTAAATCCCCCTTTCCTATACTCTGTGCCATTGGCCAGCTTTATTTTCTCTATAGATTTCAGACTGTCGGTTCGTCCATGTTGACCAGTTCAGTAGGGACTGGATTTTTCCCAAACCCTGCTATTATTCTTTTCATGTTATAACAATGTCCCTCAGAGCCCTTCAAGCCTGACACAGAAAACCTCTGGTTCTTTCAGTGACTATCACCCCAAGAACCTAATCTATTCTGTGATTTACCTCCAGAATTTTTGTGCATGTCTATTACAAACATGTTTTCTTTGTCCACTTTGGTATAAATCCTGAGCCTATGGGGCATGAACATCGTCCACAACTTCCTCTGAATCTCTTCTAGTGTGGTACATGCTTCAGATGCTTACAAAATTGGAATGAATGAAAAAAAAAGAGGGGGCTCTTGTGACTGGTTCTATGTCCTGTTTCCCAACAGTCTCTCTCTATCTCTCTGCATTTCTGTCTGAATATTTCTAACTTTTGCCTTCCCCAACCCCTGCATTTCAACAGATGGCCCAGAGGCCTCTCCATTCACTCTATTTCTGCCTCCCCAGACCCTGGATGGCTTCATCTTTGTGGTGGCCCCAGATGGGAAGATCATGTACATATCAGAGACAGCCTCAGTTCACCTGGGTCTTTCTCAGGTAGGTGAGTGGTCTACACTTCCAGCCTGCAGTGTTTACAGCCAGCGTTGGAAGCAGGAGGGGTGGGGCTTCCCCAATCCTTTTATGCCTGCATTTCTGGGATAGAGACTTCTCAGCTGATGGAGGGATTCATTAAACAGGTCTCAATCTTCTCATTCCTAGACTTCCCTTATCCATTAGCTTCCACCCAAAGCCCAAACAACTGCTACTTTTTTGAGGGTTTACAATAAGCCAGATACTGTGGGAAGAGATTATATGCTTATCTTTACCAGAGCTGCTGTTACTACTACTAGTACAACAACAACTACTACTAGTTATTGTAATTATCTCACAGATAAGGAAGCTGAGGTGTACATAGAATGCAATAGGTAGCAAGGGGCAGAAATGAAATCAGAACTCAGGGCCAATTGCTGGCTCCTGTTTTCATGGTCCAACAGACCCCCTCCACCACCAAGTTTTCAGCTTCTTCATGGGACATTCTGCTACTGCACAGACGATGATACTCCCGTCTTTACAGGTAGAGCTGACCGGAAACAGCATTTATGAATACATCCATCCTGCCGACCACGACGAGATGACCGCAGTGCTCACCGCCCACCAACCCTACCACTCTCACTTTGTACAGGGTAAGGCAGACACGTGTCTGCGATGCTTAAGCCCATGGCGGTCAGCTGTGGGTTTCCCCAAGTTTGTCGTGGCTGGAACCGCCCAGTCGCATGTCTCATGTCCTGATCTTCCCTCTGCTCCTCTCTCTCTCAGAGTATGAGATCGAGCGCTCCTTCTTCCTGAGGATGAAGTGTGTCTTAGCCAAGCGGAACGCTGGCCTCACCTGCGGCGGCTACAAGGTAAGTGGCTGAGGTGAAAGATTGACACCCAGCAGCGGATGGGTGTCTTTGGATGGGGCGGGACACAAGGGATCTGCAGCGTCTGAGAGTCATTTCTACATCAGGGACCGCTCCTGCGTGAGCTGCACGTAGTACGTTTGTTTCAAAGAGCAGCGGGTCCAGATGCTCTATTAGTCACCCAACTGTATGAACTACTGGGGATGAAGCTTAAAGACTAGGTCTGACTGACCTAGCACTCCACAGCCACGGGGCCTCTCAGAGATGGGTCTGAAGAATCCTGAAAACCTCTGAAGTGGTGGGTAACCCTTGGTGGATTCCTAGGAGTTTAAGCCTAGCACCAGATTTTGACCTCCAAAGAGGTTAAGAATCAGAGCTTTAGCTCAAAGCTGTGGTTCTCAGGTTGAATGCGATTGAACGTCCTAAGACGCGAGGGTTGGTGGAGGTCTAGGCATCTTCATTTTTACAAGCTCCCATGTGAGTTCAGTTTGACCTGCAGTCACTCTCTTGAGACACTTTAGAGTCCTATAACTTTGGACCCCTTACCAGAAGGGCGTGGCCCAGACAATGTTTCTGGCTGAGTAGTTTCAACATGTTTCAACCCCCTCCTCATCTTTCTGGGGCTCTTCCTGAGTGTGGCTGAGTCTCCCGCCCTCCCACTCTGCCACAGGTCATTCACTGCAGTGGCTACCTGAAGATCCGCCAATACAGCTTGGACATGTCCCCCTTTGACGGCTGTTACCAGAATGTGGGCCTTGTGGCCGTGGGTCACTCGCTGCCTCCTAGCGCTGTCACGGAGATCAAGCTGCACAGTAACATGTTCATGTTTCGAGCCAGCCTGGACATGAAGCTCATCTTTCTGGACTCTAGGTGGGTGGGCAGGACAAAAAAGGGCTGTTTCTAGTGTAATGGCAACCCTTCTGAGCCAGGGATAGATTTCCCTTGATCTGAATGAGCCCATTCTGCAGATGAGGCAACTAACCAGGTTCTGCAAACTGAGGGCGGGCACCCAGGTCTGAGACTGTGTTTGGTCGGGAGTTGAGGGCACCGGGGCACTCATCCCACCCGAAATCCTCTCCACAGGGTGGCGGAGCTGACAGGGTATGAACCTCAGGACCTGATTGAGAAGACCTTGTACCACCACGTGCACGGCTGCGACACTTTCCACCTGCGCTGCGCTCACCACCTGCGTAAGGAACCACTCTGCTCTGCACCCAAACAACCTTGGCGGCTCCCCAGGGTGGTAGGGAGTGGGAACCTAAGCACACGCAAACCGACTGACGGAAACCCTCATCCTGGTAATGGCCCTGGTGGTGCGTGAGGCCCCAGAGAGGGCCAGCTGGCACACTGGGCCTCATCTTGTTTCTCTACCTTACACCCGTCCTAGCAGTGGTGAAAGGGGCACTTCTAGTCGAAATATCTTCTATTGTTATGCTTCACCACCTGCAAACATCACTGAAGTTGTGAACAAAAACCGAGGCTGTTAACTTTCCTAACCTGCATCGACTCTTACAGAAATTTTCTGATATTTAGGGTTGAACCCAGGACCTTGAGTTCGCTATGCAAGCAAGTGCTCTATCACTGAGATAAATTCCCAGTTCACACCTCGGCTTTTCATATAGTTTTGTTTGAGCTTAATTTCCCCGGACTCTTCCTTCCATAGTTAGGTGAATTCAGGGAAACTCCCAACTTTATATGTTCCCCCCATTGCTAAAGGTGCAGACATCCGCCCATTCGCATGCCTATAAAGAGTACCCGGGGTCTTGATTCGATTTAACAGGGCCATCAATTGGGAATTTGCCTGTTGTTTCTCCCTCCTGCCAGGCGCAGTTATTAGGGCCCGCAGGGGGTCCGCACTCTCACCACCTGGCATTTGGGACAAGTCTGGGTCAAGCTGATTCACCACCATTTGCCTCTGTCTCTCCATCAGTGCTGGTGAAGGGGCAGGTGACCACCAAGTACTACAGGTTCCTGGCAAAGCACGGCGGCTGGGTATGGGTGCAGAGTTACGCGACCATCGTGCACAACAGCCGCTCATCCAGGCCACACTGCATTGTCAGCGTTAACTACGTCCTCACGTGAGTGCAAGCCTGAGACCCCTTCGACCACTCCTGGGGACTCTGGTCTCTGAGAGAGAGCATGTGGTGGGCACAGCCTGGTTAGGAGAGACTGGGATCATCTGGGCATTCGGGTTTGAACCCTAAGTGCCGGCTTCGCTGGAAGGAGGCAGGTCGAGCACTTTCATCTTCCCGAAGAGGCTTTCTTGTTCTTTTCTAGAAAAAGATTTAGAGGTTCTTCCATCGCACTCCATATTTGCTTTCTTTTCTTTCTCTTAACCTTTTAAGCGAACTCTGCATTAAATAAAACTTAATGCAGCAGAAAGAAAAAAAGAGAGAAAGAGGACAGGATCCAATGTTTGGAGCCATTTATAGTTAAAAAACAGGACATCTGTTTCACTTTTTCAGATCTAGGGTTTGAAGTTCTTAATTTTAACCAGAGTCTCCAATCAAAGTTAAGAATTCTGAGAGAGTGTTTCTTTCCCTGAACCACAAAGGGGGCTTAAGTGACCAAGAGGATATGACTTTAACTTCCAGGAAGCCAAGAGAGCCAATCATAAGCTGCAGGTCTTGGTGGGGCATCCCTCCTGGTCCTGACCACTTCACTGGGTGAGGAGCTAAGCTCTGGGTGCCACCTGCGGGTGCGACCCATTGGGCAGCTGCAACAGCCTCTTTTGAATCTATTCTTATTAGAAACCATAATCCTTTCTGGTTGCTGTTGTGGCCCTTCAGTCTGATCACGTGGTGGGGTGTGCACCTCCTGAGGAAAGCATGTTATGTTCTGTATAATGTTTGTGAAAGTGGAATTGCTTAGGGTTGAAGCCTTTATAAAGAACCCTTTTGTGTATGCAGTTGCTGAATATTGTTTTTGTTGTTGTTGTTTGGTTTGGTTTTGGTAGACATTGAAATTCTTGTGATTTTTAGGGGACCTCAGAAGTTCTCTACTTGAGAGTGTTGACACCAGATAGTTTTGTCTTTGTGGTGGGTTAAGGGGTGCTTTTTGGAATACAATCAATGAGAATTGGATTCATTCCACATTGTTTTAGATTGCCAAATTAAAAATGTAGTAGTTGGAAATACTATGCTTGCATTAAAACTATTTGCTCCGTGCCCGGTTTAATAAGAAAAGTCAATTCAATAGACTTAGAAAATGAATTTGGTGTAGGTGAGGTTTCAGTATTCAAGAATAATAGCTTGTTATTAAGAAGACTCTTTTAATTTCTCTCATTTTAGTAAATAGTGTTAAATATTATTAAATTTTTGCAATAGCAAGAAAACTGTACTTCAATATAGAGCGGAAAATGTACCACTATTTTGGGTATCATGAAACAAAACCATTTATTTTATGAATGTAATTTTTCATATTATTAAAATAAACAAGAGAAAATGGCAATGCATAACTCATAACATAAGCCACTCTGAGCAACAGAAGTATTAGAGGGTGAAAAATTATGTCTGCTTACCATGGAAAGGAAATGGACATTCTTTAAGAAGGTGCTTTGTATGTCTGAGACATCACAAGCATTATACATACACTCAGTCCTCTGGTGGGTGCCTGTGGTTAGTAATCATTCTTTATCAAACAGCAGGGTATATAGTCACACAGACCCCTATAAATGATCTGAATGCAAGTTAGACCTCCCAATGGGTAAACTTAATTTATGTTTGGAGTCATTTTGAAATATTCTGTTTTGTTTTTCCAGTGGGTAAGTGTTCTTTTTTCTTCTGTTGACTGTGTCATTCTTTACACATTTCCTCAGAGCTGCAGAATTAGACAATCAACTTTGTATCAGATTAAAAAATATGTAATGAGGACAAATAAATGATTTACGGAAGGAAAAATAGTATGGCACACATTTATTTTTTGAACATTCTGTATCTTTGAAAGAAAATAGAAATAAACACACAGAAGCATGTATACACAAGCCTACAAGATGATAAGCTGAAATTGATTACTCTTTATGAGTCTCAGCCCCAATTCCTTGTATAAAAATTCTTAGAACATTTTTTATGGCTGCAAATGCAGAAACTGCTTTGGATGAAATGTCATCAAGTGGCTCTGTGTGTTGACAGGATTTTCATAATGAACAGGTGCAGTTTGTTGGATGTGTACATCACACATCTGGCTGGAAGTTACTAATTTACATTGTCTTAGCAAATTAAATAGATGGCTATTGATTCTCTATGGTACTAGCAAACTACCACATACATTTGTTTTTAGGAATACTGCTCTATGAAGTTAGAGAATGAAAAGTAAATTCTTTCCAAATACACCACCTCAAACAATGTACTTAAAACTGCCAACTTCTAAATACTTTGACATACAAAATGTTTCCATATTTAAGCATTTTAATAGCACACATTTTGAAATAATTTTTCATGACATGAAAGTGGAGGGGATTTTAAATAATAATCATTCAAATGAAGAAGATGTGGTGTTTTGGTAGAAACTACATTCATAAGAAACCCTTTTTTAATAACTTCCTGCGGATAAATTTGTTGTTGAAGTCAATATTATGTGTAAGAAAATTAGTCATTATTATTTAACAAAAGCAGTAATGATTAGAAATATTTAGTAGCCATGTTTTTTAATAAGCAACTGCATTAGTGCATATAGGAAAATGATGATTTTAGAGGCAGGTGTTGATTGCCCTAGTGCTTTTTAATTCCTTCTCCTCCTCCTCCTCCCCCCTCCCCCTCCCCCTCCTCCACCTCCACCACCTTCTTCTCCTCCTCCTCCTCCTCCTCCTCCTCCTCCTCCTTCTTCTTCTTCTTCTTCTTCTTCTTCACCATAATGTATATTAAGAATCTGGAGAGGAGAGAGAAGTCACTATGATGAATTTTCTAAAATTCTCTTAGTTTCTGTGAAGCTTCTGTAGCTCTTCATAATGCCTCTCCCACATGCCACCCCTGCAATCTAAGCAAAAGACTGACCAGTTCATGATTTTCAATAAGACACACATATTCTGGTAGCTTTGTCTTCCATATAAAAAATCTTCTTATAAATTAGGAGTGCCCACAAATTTTGAAGTGTTAAATATGATAGGACCTTCTCTCATTTTTAAGAGGACAAGTGATAGAGACTGATTAGTAGTTGATGTTGGGGAAAGTCCAGAGAGTGTGGAGAGTAAAAGGAAGGTATAACATGTAAAGACCTGAGTAATTTTCTTGAATCCATATTTTCTTGATTTTAATTTGAGTAGTAATTGTTCATAAACAGTTCAGATGGAAAATATTAGTATTTAACATGAAGAAAATTGAAAATAAACTATGAAAAATAATTTCTAGAGAAATAAGAGTATTAGTTTTCTTTATGCTTTTGGAATTTATATATGTATATAATTTACATATATAATCAATCAATCTATCTATCTGTCTATCTAATCTATTTTTGTACTGGGGATTGAACTCAGTGTACTTTGCCTCTGAGCTATATCCCTAGTTTTTTTTTTTTTATTTTGAAGTGGGGTCTCACTTTGAGATTGGCTTCAAACTTGAGATCTTCCTGCCTCAGCCTCCCAAGTGGATGAAGTTACAGGTGTGCACAGGAGTTTTATGCCTGCCTGGCTCAGACTTCATACGTTTTAAAAATAAGAAATATTCTTACATTATTTTTTTCAGGATAAACCAAAACTTCTATTTTAAAATATCTTAAAACTTATACATCTTTAAATATAAAAGTTGAAAGTCTAGTACAATGAATATCCATGTACATATCATCTAGTTTCAACAAATGTTAATGTTGGCTGTATTTTTTTGTCTCTACCTATATGTATATTTATTTTAATGTTTATTTTTCCCTGCTAAATAATTCTAAAGTAAGCCACAGACATCATGATACTTTCTGCTTACATAGCATTCTCCTATCTAGTCTCTGTATCATTTATGATGACATATTTATAGTACTCAAAATTACTGTGTGTAGAAGCTTGCAAAAAATACAGATGAGAGCTAGTTTACTGATAACATTAAAAACAATCTGCCACTAATATTCATCAAGTACTCATTGGTGTATGACCTCAATTAGTCTGATTGATATATGATATTCTGTGAGGGGACTTCTGTAGAAGGTAGTCCTAAATATTAATTTAATTTTAAACTAGAATTCTAATGAGAATTATAAGTAAGTACAATTTTGATATTGTACTTGGAAAGTAAGAGAGTATATTTAGTGAGTAATTTGGTAATTGTGGAATCAGACAGATTTAATATTTTCAACCACTTTTTGTTGGTAAGGAGAGCTTTTCTGCTTATTTAATCAGTTTAGATAAAACACTGCTTTAGTGGAAGATCTCACATGATGTTTTACATTTAAAGTGATTTACAGAGCATGTAGGAGGAAAAATAGTTTTCCATGTTAAAATTTCTATTACTGTGCTACTAAAAGCAGAACAGATAGAGAAAATACTTATTAGTGTTCTATACCAGCTTGCTGTTTTCTAAAGACCTCCTTTAAATTTGTAGAACAATTAGGGCAAATGCCAGAGAAACATCCTTCCTTCATATCAAAGGGAGAAAGGGCCCACATGATAATGGCCCCATATTTTTTATTCTTGTTTGAATACTATTACATGTTCTCACAGTTAACCATTATGAAAACCATGTGTTTTTCACAATTAGAATTTTTAAATGTTAACATATTCTGTGGTTATAAAACTTTATAAACCTCTTTAAAGAAGCAAACATAAAATATGCTCGTACTGGTTTGTTCTTTCAAATATATAAATGGTGCTGAATTCATTGGGGTGCTCAAATTCAAATTTGTTAGAATTTATTTAAAGGCCAATGATATTTTCATTAGTAGTAAATTTTAGGATATGCTTCTTAAGACTTGGCTAATAATCATATATAATTATTAAAATAGATTTTATTTTGCTGTTAGCAAAACCACTCTTTTATATTATAAGTGATGTCAGATGAAGCACATTTTGACTTACCAAGTTACAGCAAATATAAAATAATTTACTTTTATTCCTCAGATATATGGAGAACTCATTGCATAAGTTTAATCTTTTTGGCAA